ATTGACATTTGTTTTGGTGCCATTATTTGAGTTCATTGATGTTTGATTTGGCTCTGTTATGATAGGTTGTTGACATTTTATTGACAGGTTAAACATCCGTGTTCCATTGTTCAGAGCTGCCAATTAGTCTGTAACCTCAAATTTATCAAAGATGTTATAAACTGATGGTATGTAGAATTGTTTTTGTGCATAACAGACCTTTTTACTTCAGCTGTAGGACTGATTGCTTGTTGGTAAATCCATCGTGCATGTTAGTGCCAGTGTTACCAACAAGTATTCAACATCAACTCACATTGTGAAGTCAGTGATGCTGACATGAGCTTTTGGGATTTGTGAACCAGGTGACAGACCAACAGTTAAAGTCTAGCTCAATCCCGCAGTTAAACTGTAATACAGTTCTGCAGTAACGTGGCGTCAGACCCATCAAAATTTTTTAACAACAGTAGGCAAAGCGATAAACAAAATAAAAGTAAACACTAACAGGAATTATATCAACAATTGTGGTGCAGTTACCGCACAAAATTAAATTTTAACGAAAGAAGGGATATTATTGTCAAAAAGAAACTTGTTTTATGGGCTTAAATATTACCATCATCAATTGTCAATTTTGTTTTATTTTCATTGTTTAGAGTTAATTCTCGTACTTGAGTTCCCTGTGCTGACGTCCCTATCATTTTATGATGACAGAGTCGTCTGTTTCTGACATTCAAAATTTCGTTGCCATTCCTGGTCACCAGATTTTCAACATGACACACAGCATTTTCAACATACCCTAGGGATTTCCTAAAACTGGTACATACCAGTAACTTAATGCCAGGCCCAATAGAATCTCACCAATGAGACGATGAAATCAAATTATCAATACACTTATAGAATTTCACTGGTGCAGAAAGGTCAATGGAATTCGGTAACGATGATATTTTAGTGGCGAACATGTATGACTGTTGTCAACAATTTGTGTTTCTCTGTCTAACAAGAGGCTTCAACAACTTTTCAGCATTTTGGAGAAATGGCAGCAATTAGTAATGTCAAAAGGAAACGTATTTCTGCTGATGTTGTTAAGCTAGATTGAGATTATATAGATGATATATTTTCTCACTACTTTCCATTAAGAGAATGAATTAGTTTTAATGTGCCGTGAGTGATGACAGACTATATACTTCTACCAAACAAACGCACCTTTCCTGTTTTTGGTTGTGTTGGGTTTCTGTCAAGTCCATCACCGAAAATGTCCAGGGAATCCTGGTAAATGGCATTGTTTGTACTCCTGATGGCAGTAGATGGGAATATAGAGATCTCAGAGGTCTCGATCAAACATATGTCAACCTGTCATGCCTGATCAGAACACATAAGAGTTTTAGTAACTTTGTCAAATAAACTGTTAGGATTTTTTTCGAACATGCATCTCAATTTTTTACTGCTACAATTGTTCCTTTGTCATCTGCTTAAAATTTAGATCTTAGGAGATGTTGGCAAATTGTAGAAGAAAATTGTACATGTTCATTATATGTACTTTGTCAAAATGGTTCCAATGAAATTTGAAGTTACAAAATCATCGAAGTGATTTTTTATGACAAGAGGTGGTCATGTGGTCAAGGGGTCAAGTGTTCTGATTCCGACTTTGACCTCTACAAGCACCAAACTCTAAAACTTTGAGATAGAAAGATATTTTTATGTTAAAGTTCTGCTAACATGATCATATTTAAGTGTTTTAGGTCTCAAGTGACCTATTGCGATCGTCCTTTGTCCGGCGGCGTCCGGCGTCCAGCGTGCGTCCGTAAACAATTTACATTTTCGACTTCTTCAAAACCCCTGAACCAATTTCAATAAAATTTTGCAGAAACCTTTGGGAAGGAAGGAAGGGGGGGGGGGCAAAATTTATTATGGTTTGTAATGGCAAATGATACTTTGAATATAACATGTTAATAACTTGATTGGAATTATAACCCTGAGTTGTCCGTTTGATACTTTGAAAATTTTGAGCCAGCCCTACCCCTAAGGGCTGTAGGATGGGGCCCAAAGGAGTCAGTTTGCTAAAATTTCTTTATTTTCCTTGTTTAGAATTAGAGGTGCTAGTTTCAAATACTTTTTAGCCTTAAATCTGTATGCTAGATATTGAATAAGGTGGTTTTATTGTTTTTTGTCACTTTGAATAATAAGAGCGTAGCTCTCGGGCGAAAAGACGCCCGAGCGAAAGCTCTTTAATGGTAACACATGCGTGCTTAAACAGAGTTGCATCCCCTTTTCTACACCTTACCTTCAATTTTATCGTCCGGAAGTAGACGTCCAGTGGGGAAACCGGAAGTGTATCCTTGAAGCAAAGACAATTGTGTTTCAACCCATACATAAACATCCCCTCATGTTTTATTACTTGTTTATTTAGATAAAAACTCATATAGAAAAAAATCTATTACATAAATTTTGATACTAGCAGACATGAAACGTCATTCAGAGATTATCATACTGTGACGTCACAATCTTACTCCATTGGCCTTCATCGGTTATTTCCGGAAGGATGAAAAATAACCGGAAAATCTTGGAACTGATGGCTGTTGTATTTATCTCTTTGTCGGTGCTTCATGACTTTTTAATTTCAGATTTTGCCATATCTAAAGATGGTTTCTATCCGGATTTGCATTAGAATCACTATGACTTTGAACCTTGAAGGACTTAAAGTTCCATCAGTGAACCATATCTTTATAGGTCTATGGCCTTTTTACCAGGACCTTTATCTTTCCCTGCCTATTAGAGAGAAGTGAAATAGCAAATTAAAACCAATGGAAAGTACATAACTTTCAATAGCTAGGCTACATAAACAAGATGTTCATCTGAAGCCACACTGTTTGGCTGTTTTACTCATTGCAAGGTAATTAGCACAATGGACGTCCCACTGAGCAAAGTGATTTGGGGCTAAATTATTTAAATGTGATTGGGTTTCGAAGGTCACAAGACATTGGAATATGCTAATTGGACGTGGAAACAGCGCCTCAAACTCCTACCGTGTTGAAGATTTATCCGTCATGTGATCTGAATGTTTGGGTCTGTCTTGATTGGTGCTGTCTAGATCGGAGAGTTTATTAGACGACTAATTGGTGCAGTGCTATTGTTCATGACCGATAAGTTGATGACAAGGAATTTTGTTTTTGAGACATGATTAAGATAGCATAATATCAAAATTTATTTACCAGGTGTGTTAATTTTCAATGCATGCCTAATGGCTGCTTGTCCAAAATTAAGTGTTGTCCATGGGTTACAGAAGTCAGAATCACAGGCTCACAGTGAAAAAAGGCTGTAACATTTATTTGACTATAAAGCTGATCAATGTCTTTACTGTTATTTTTGTTAGGAAACATAAGGTCAGCAACCCAGAGATGTATTTATAGTTAATTGTATGTAAACCATATAGCCTCCAGTCCATTAAAACCTATGTGAAGCCATATAGTATTCAGTCTATTAAAATCTGTGTGTAAGCCATATTCACCAGTCCATTAAACCTGTGTGAAAGCCATACAGTCTCTGGTCCATTAAACCTGTATGTAAGCCATACAGCCTCCATTCCATTAAACCTGTGTGTAAGCCATACAGTCTCTGGTCCATTAAAACCTGTATGTAAGCCATATAGCCTCCAGTCCATTAAACCTGTGTGTAAGACATACAGCCTCCAGTCCATTAAACCTGTGTGTAAGCCATACAGCCTCCAGTCCATTAAACCTGTATGTAAGGCATACAGCCTCCAGTCCATTAAAACCTGACCTTAACATTTAATATACACACTTTCTTATGACAGTTGCAATTAACAAAGTATACAGTTGAACCTACCAGGATGTCCATAATGGCTTTGAGATCATTCAGTCTTTCAGATTATACACCGTTCAACTGCAGCTTCTTGGTCAGTGCACATTTAAGTTCAAGGTCAAGTTGAACCCTTAATTATAATCTTCATTTGTCATCTGATGATTTTAGTGGACTTCAAGCTCCCAAAACTTATATGGAAACTTGTTCTTGTACTCAAGTGATTAATATCAGAATATAATCAGGAACATTCTATTTTCAAATATTTCTGCAGATGCTTTGTAAAACAATGTTATTTACAAGCTGTCACATTCACTTGATATTTCATCAAGTTAATGTGACTTGAAACCTAAAGCTTTAACTAATTTTAAGCCTTAAAGTGAAACTTTCATTTTTCTTTGTCAGTTTATTTTTATTGTTCCATATTTGTAAACATAAAAAGTCCAGATCACAAAGAAAGGGACATTCTTCACAAATTTTGTATCTACCTTTTTTCATTATTCCTTCTTCACTAGTATTTATGAAAAATAAAACTGTTGAAATTCCTTCCATAGTATCTTTATAAAATTAATTTTGAAATTGTTGATTAATAAAAGGTTTCAGCAACAATGAAATTATAAAAGATTGAAAAAGGGAAAAAAAAGAATAGTTTTTGTAACTTCTCTAGAGTGTGTAGTAATCATGGATATTGGTTTAAAATTGCAAACAAAATTAGTTCAATCTAAAAATAATTGTGTCTGCGATTGTTTGGTGTAAACACTGCTATTAACTTATTATCATTTTTTTTTTTGTAAAGGATTTTTTAGGAAATACTGCTGTAGGTGAAACAATCCGTAGGAGTGATTAGATTGATGCTCTGTGAATTTGAAAGCCTTTTTGTAGACTTAAATCCTGTTCACGTCTCTCAGTCAAATCTAATTACATTGCCTGTTTTGATATTATTTAGCCGCCAAGATTGAACACTTTATGGCAATGGTTTTAGATTAATTTTCGATGACAATACAGATTCATTATCAATTTGCTTTTTTTGTTCTTTCGCACTCAAAGTCATTAAATAAACCCAAAGAAATTTGAAATTTCTCATCAATTTTATTTAACTTATTCCTTTTAGATGTTTTTTTTTTTTTTATATATTTCTATAATCAGAAATTCAATCATCCCTAGTTTTCAATAATCAGTAATGGTAATGTTTGTTTTTGTCTTTACAGGCGATCGTTCGGAATCAAGATGAATTTCCTTATTCGGTTTCTATGACTCCAGAAAATGTTCTTAAGAATGTCAACCAAGATGTTGTGCCATGTAAGTTTCATATTTACCTATAATGTTACCAAATTTTGGATCTTGTTACCAAGGTAACCATTTATATCAACTTAGAAAGCATGACATAAGTACACAGAATACAATTGACCTCTGAACTCAGATCATACAGTAAAAGGTTGAGCTTTCAAGTTTGGAGTCAAACTTTGTCAGACACCTCCTCATTGAACTAGTGTTGGGCTATGGTGTTTGGTTGAACTAGTGTTGGGCTATGGTGTTTGGTGACTGTTGGGTTATAGGGTGGGTTAGTGTAGCGGTGATTTTTTGTTGGGTAATCTTGTAGTAGGAAAATGGTGTTGGTTGTTGTTGGACTAATATGCAATGGGACAACAATTTCCTACTGCAAGATTACCCAACAAAAAATCACCGCTACAATTACCCACCCTATAACCCAACAGTTACCCAACACCATAGTCCAACACTAGTTCAATGAGGAGGTGTTCTTATTTAAGTTTGGTTCTAAATTAAGCCCACAACAGTTAAAAAATGGCCTGATGACTCTTTGAAAATGAGCTAGTACACACTTATCTGACTTCAAATGTTTGTATGGCTGCAGTGAAGTGACTATTATTTCCTGTAATACATACAGTAAAACAGCTCTGATGGATACTCTGAGATTTGAAACTCACTGCCCTGGTTTTCTGACAGGCTTTCAGAAGGTCTGAGATTTGACACTCACTGCCCTGGTTTTCTGACAGGCTTTTATAATGACTGTAGTTTGACACTCGCTGCCCTGGTTTTCTGACAGGCTTTCAGAAGGTTTGAGATTTGACACTCATTACCCTGGTTTTCTGACAGGCTTTCAGAAGGTCTGAAATTTGACACTCGCTGCCCTGGTTTTCTGACAGGCTTTCAGAAGGTCTGAGATTTGACACTCACTGCCATGGTTTTCTGACAGGCTTTCAGAATGTCTGAGATTTGACACTCACTGCCCTTGTTTTCTGACAGGCTTTCAGAAGGTTTGAGATTTGACACTCACTGCCATGGTTTTCTGACAGGCTTTTAGAAGGTCTGAGATTTGACACTGACTGCCCTGGTTTTCTGACAGGGTTTCAGAAGGTCTGAGATTTGACACTCGCTGTCCTGGTTTTCTGACAGGATTTCAGAAGGTCTGAGATTTGACCCTCACTGCCCTGGTTTTCTGACAGGCTTTTAGAAGGTCTGAGATTCGAAACTCACTGTCCTGGTTTTCTGACAGGCTTTCATAATGACTGCAGTTTGACATTCACTGCCATGGTTTTCTAACAGGCTTTTAGAAGGTCTGAGATTTGAAACTCACTGTCCTGGTCTTCTGACAGGCTTTCAGAATGTCTGTAGTTCGATACCTGTGTTAACTTTTGACTAATACATCACGTAAAAGGTTAAATATATATGACAAAGTTTGACTCCAAACTTGAAAGCTCAACCTTTTACTGTATAATCTGAATACAGAGGTCGTATAGTATGTGTACTTATGTCATGTGATGCTTTCTGAGTTGATATGTCCTGTCCTCTGAGGTCATTGTCCTCTGTCATTGTCCTCTAAGGTCATTGTCCTCTGAGGTCATTGTCTTCTAAGGTCATTGTCCTCTGTCATGTCCTCTGAGGTCATTGTCCTCTGAGGTCATGTCCTCTGAATTCATGTCCTCTGAGGTCGTTATTCTCTGAGGTCATTGTCCTCTGTCATGTCCTCTGAGGTCATTGTCCTCTGAGGTCATTGTCCTTTGTCATGTTCCTGAGGTCATTGTCCTCTGAGGTCATGTCCTCTGAGGTCATGTTCTCTGAGGTCATTGTCCCCTGAGGTCATTGTCCTCTAAGGTCATGTTCTCTGAGGTCATTGTCCTCTGAGGTCATTGTCCTCTGAGGTCATTGTCCTCTAAGGTCATTGTCCTCTGAGGTCATTGTCCTCTGAGGTCATGTCCTCTGAGGTCATTGTCCTCTAAGGTCATTGTCCTCTGAGGTCATTGTCCTCTAAGGTCATTGTCCTCTGAGGTCGTTGTCCTCTGAAGTCATGTCCTCTGAGGTCATTGTCCTCTGAGGTCATTGTCCTCTGTCATGTCCTCTGAGGTCATTGTCCTCTGAGGTCATGTCCTCTGAAGTCATGTTCTCTGAGGTCATTGTCCTCTGAGGTCATTGTCCTCTGTCATGTTCTTTGAGGTCATTGTCCTCTAAGGTCATTGTCTTCTGTCATGTCCTCACAGGTCATTGTCCTCTGAGGTCATTGTCCTTTGTCATGTCCTCTGAGGTCATTGTCCTCTGAGGTCATGTCCTCTGAGGTCATTGTCCTCTGAGGTCATGTCCTCTGAGGTCATGTCCTCTTAGGTCATTGTCCCCTGAGGTCATTATCCTCTAAGGTCGTGTTCTCTGAGGTCATTGTCCTCTGTCATTGTCCTCTGAGGTCATGTCCTTTGAGGTCATGTCCCCTGAGGTCATTGTCCTCTGAGGTCATTGTCCTCTGTCATGTACTCTGAGGTCATGTTCTTTAGATTTGTTTGAGTTGTAGTTACCAAATATTTTGTTTTTTGTATCCTTTTTATCTCTTCATCGATAACATGAAGTGTTTGGTCAATTGATTGTATAATTCAAGTCAATCCAATATTCATCGATGAGGTCATTTAGTAAATTCTTTTTAGATTGAATCTAAAATCACAAAAGTCAATAGAGGAAAGAGTAGGTCTAAATTTCGGTTTACAGTCATTGGCTGTTATCTTTTTATCCTAAATATCACTACTTTTGACAGCAGAACCTTTTAATCTGTTGTCATTTTTACACTGAATTCTTTTTTGACTTCTTTCAGATTTTGTGTGTGAAGTAGGCCGTTCAGTTTCCTGATTCATTGTCAGGTTTTGAGTGTGAAGTTCTGCTTCCTGTTTTGTTGTCAGATTTTGCCTGTGATTAGGATCTGCTTCCTGTTTCGTTGTCAGATTTTGTGTGTGAAGTTCTGCTTCCTGTTTTGTATGTCAGATTTTGCCTTTGATAAGGATCTGTTTCCTGTTTGATTGTAAGATTTTGCCTGTGATTAGGATCTGGTTCCTGTTTCGTTGTCAGTTTTTGTGTGTGAAGTTCTGCTTGTTTTGTTGTCAGATTTTGTGTGTGAAGTTCTGCTTCCTGTTTTGTTGTCAGATTTTGCCTTTGATAAGGATCTGTTTCCTGTTTTGTATGTCAGGTTTTGTGTGTGAAGTTCTGCTTCCTGTTTTGTATGTCAGATTTTGCCTTTGATAAGGATCTGTTTCCTGTTGTGTATGTCAGATTTTGTCTGTGATTAGGATCTGTTTCCTGTTTCATTGTCAGATTTTTGTCTGTGATTAAGATCTGCTTCCTGTTTTGCTGTCAGATTTTGTCTTTGATTAGGATCTGTTTCCTGTTTTGTATGTCATATTTTGTCTGTGATTAGGGTCTTTTTCCTTTTTTGTATGTCAGATTTTTTGTGTGAAGTTCTGCTACCTGTTTTGTTGTCAGATTTTGCCTTTGATTAGGATCTGCTTCCTGTTTTGTTGTAAGATTTTGTGTGTGATTAGGATTTTTATCCTAAATATCACTACTTTTGACAGTAGAACCTTTTAATCTGTTGTCATTTTTACACTGAATTATTTTTTGACTTCTTTCAGATTTTGTGTGTGAAGTTCTGCTACCTGTTTTGTTGTCAGATTTTGTGTGTGAAGTTCTGCTCCCTGTTTTGTATGTCATCTTTTCCCTTTGCTTAGGATCTGTTTCCTGTTGTGTATGTCAGATTTTGACTGTGATTAGGCTCTGTTTCCTGTTTTGTATGTAAGATTTTGTCTGTGATTAGGGTCTTTTTCCTTTTTTGTATGTCAGATTTTGACTGTGATTAGGCTCTGTTTCCTGTTTTGTAGGTCAGATTTTGTCTGTGATTAGGTTCTGTTTCCTGTTTTGTGTGTCAGATTTTGTATGTGATTAAGATCTGCTTTCTGTTTTGCATGTCAGATTTTGTCTGTGAGTAGGATCTGTTTCCTGTTGTGTATGTCAGATTTTGTGTGTGAAGTTCTGCTCCCTGTTTTGTATGTCATATGGATCTGCTTCCTGTTTTGTCTGTGATTAAGGTCTGCTTCCTGTTTTGTTGTAAGATTTTGTGTGTGATTAGGATTTTTATCCTAAATATCACTACTTTTGACAGTAGAACCTTTTAATCTGTTGTCATTTTTACACTGAATTATTTTTTGACTTCTTTCAGATTTTGTGTGTGATTAGGATCTTTTTCCTGTTTTGTATGTCATTTTTTGTGTGTGAAGTTCTGCTATGTCAGATTTTGCCTTGACAGCAGAACCTTTTAATCTGTTGTCATTTTTACACTGAATTCTTTTTTGACTTCTTTCAGATTTTGTGTGTGACGTTCTGCTTCCTGTTTTGTTGTAAGATTTTGTGTGTGATTAAGTTCTGCTTCCAGTTTTGTATGTCATTTTTTGTGTGTGAAGTTCTGCTATGTCAGATTTTGCCTGTGATTAAGTTCTGCTTCCTATTTTGTATGTCAGATTTTGTGTGTGACGTTCTGCTTCCTGTTTTGTCTGTGATTAAGGTCTGCTTCCTGTTTTGTTGTAAGATTTTGTGTGTGATTAGGATTTTTATCCTAAATATCACTACTTTTGACAGTAGAACCTTTTAATCTGTTGTCATTTTTACACTGAATTCTTTTTTGACTTCTTTCAGATTTTGTGTGTGAAGTTCTGCTACCTGTTTTGTTGTCAGATTCTGTGTGTGATTAGGATCTTTTTCCTGTTTTGTATGTCAGATTTTGCCTGTGATTAAGTTCTGCTTTCTGTTTTGTATGTCAGATTTTGTCTTGTATTAAGTTCTGCTTCCTATTTTGTATGTCAGATTTTGTCTTGTATTAAGTTCTGCTTCCTGTTTTGTTGTAAGATTTTGTGTGTGATTAGGATATGTTTCCTGTTTCATTGGCAGATTTTGTCTGTGATTAGGATCTTTTTCCTGTTTTGTATGTAAGATATTGTGTGTGATTAGGATTTTTATCCTAAATATCACTACTT